TTTCCCTAGGAGGTGTGGAATACCCTGCTGAGGATTGCAGGGAGTGTGTGAAGGCCCATGCAGATACCACAGTTTGTAGAGGCCCTTTGTCTATACTTAGTAGTGGTTGGATTAGAGAAATGGGAGAGAATTTAACTGGAAACAGAATATATCTTAGAGTGTGTCAAGAAAATACTGACTGCTCTTCAAAGTATTACAAATCCACCTCATATAGGAAACATGCCTTAGTTTACATTGGTTATGAATACCTGTCAAGTGTAGCTAAACATGACTGTCAAGAAGACTGGCTTGGAATTCAATGAGTCCACCCATGGCAAACAAGTCAATCAGGCCTGGAAAGGACCTTCTCCTAAGGAGACAAAAAAACCAGAGAAGGAAAGGATGCATTATTCTGTCCAAGTGGCTTGGCTTTCTGTCCTTCCTAATACTTCACAGCTCCACAGGACTCCACTTTTTCTGTTCTTAGTCCATGAAACATGTTCCTGGCATTGGAGCAGAATTCTCATCTCCCCCCAGACAGTGTCAGATTAATCTTCTAGAAACGCAGGACAAACACCCAGCCTGCTACTGTGATGTGTAGCCTGACAAAGCTGGAGTTTAATTCCATGCTACACTCTCATCCACCAGCTCCACTGTGATGCAAATGAGGATCTTCTGGGTTATAGTGGCAATGTATCTGACTGAGTATCCACCTCAATGACTGCTTTTCTCAACCTCCAAACTGGATAAAACAGACCCAAGGATCATTGCTCCAGTTCTTTTTTTCCCAAATGCTATGGATTCATCCTTGCAATATGGAGGTGTGGGTTGGTTTCATTAATTCATGGCACCATAGTCTAAAAGATTCCCTGGTAACCCACAGATAAGAAGCAATGAATGGGGTCTGTGCCACTACCCAGTCAAGTTCAGTTTGCCAAAAAGATATTTTTTTTCCCTTGCATCTGCTGAGGTTGGCTAACAAAGACTCCAAATTTCAGCTCATGTATCCTATTGACAACAGGTGCCTTAATTCCCCTCTAACCACATTGTAAGAGGGCAGTCTGGCTCTTTAAGTGGGCGCAGACAACCTGTGTGAGAAGCCCAGCTGTAGGCAGTTAGTTACTCAGGGAGTGCCTGCTGGCATTTAAGAACCCCAGGGGGCCAAGGAGAAGAAGTGATTCCCATGCAAGCAGGAGGTGGGCTGCATCTAAGAAAAAAATCACCACCAGGTAGGGTCTCAAGTGACAGGGCCTCACCTGGGGAAGAGCCACAAGATTTTGGTTTGCTCATTTGTTTGTAGGTGCTGTGGTTACAGCCAAAGGACCAGTCAAAGCTACTCAGGGTAATACCAGCCTGAGGTAGCAGGCTTACCACCCCCATTTAAAAACTGAGTTTCTATATAGAGGACCAGTTAAGGACTCCTCCATCTCTCCACTTCTGCCATACCCCCCCCTTTCCCTCAGAGCAAAGCCATTCTGCAAGAAAGCAAGCTCACTAACCCACCTACACATAAAAGGTGGTTTGGAAGAGAGGATTATGTCTGAAGGAAAACAAGTGGAGCATTCAAAACCAGTCTTATACTTGGCTCTGGGGGAGAGCTGTTCAGCTGTGAACAAACAGGGGATCCCTAACCTGTGATGAGGCCATGGACTCCATAACATTCGTAATGCCTTACAGAGCCTCCATGCTTGTAAATCCAAAAGGCAAGCTTCTCAGCACCATTACTTTGATCCTTATGTTCCACAAAACCAATGTGCACATGCACACCCACACCCAGTCAGTATATGCCAACAGACACGCACATGCATGTACCCACTTATCTAAGTCACTATGTACAAACAGTTATACTCTCTGTATGGAAAAAACACCAGCTTCACAGTTTCCCAGTTTGCAGACAGAAAACTTGGTTGCTGTAGTATGCATTAATATTCTCAGAAAGTGAGGTTTGTATCATGGTTAGAATATAAGGTGGAGAAAGAGGAGAAATTGTGTGTAATCTAGTTAGATGAAGCTAGGATGAGAGAAGGGAAAGGAGTTGGGTGAAAACAGCAAAAGTCTGAGAGGAGACATTTGGGTTTTTGAACAAATAGGTTTTGTTGTGCTTGTGCACATACTCCTAGTATGTGTGTGTTGTCTTTGTCCCAGTTTCTGGAGTTTGCTGGTTGGGTTGTGTGAGCACTGCAAACTTGAAGCAAACACTGGCTGATATTTCCCAAAAGGGATTCTGAACCAAGAGCACTCTCAGTGGGAGCTGCATCCCAAAAGACATACTTATCTAGCTGAAGAACAACAACACCCCCATGAAACCCCTGACTCCAGTGACAACTGGCCGGCATGGCTCAAGTTTGGAGCATTCACAGGAAGCTGCTCATGGTCAATCTGCTCTCCCAGAGATGATCAGCAGAGCCATTTGGCAAATAACTTGGAACAACGATCACACTGGAGAAGCTTGTGGTTGGCAGGTAGACCATTCCTGCGTTAAAAAATTGCTGCTGGTAGGACAATAACATAAGACAGGTTCACTGAGGTCTCAAACCAAGATGCAGGTTTTTCACCTGGTGGGAGGAAGAGGGTTCCTAGTTCCACATACCATCTCTCCATAGTCTGGTTTGCCACAGTCTGGCCATAGGAGCCCATAATTCCACCATGAATTAATTTAATTCCTTTACCTCCAGCATTCCCTAATATTCAAATGCTTCGTTTTGCAACCTGAAATATTCTTTTCATGGAAGTAGTTTTGAATAAGCAAAATGTGCTGCTTCAGCTCAGAAGGAGAGAGATCCATTTTTCCTACGTGATCTCTCTTTCATGTCATCTGTGTCAAACAACAAAAGGCAGAGAGAGGTAGTTAAACACATTCGTTTGAAGTCAGGTAGAAGGCAGGGTAGATGTGCACCTTGTACACTAAGTCAGAGACACATAGCACAAGCTTTTGTAAGCAGCAGCCAGCCACCCACTATACCATGCTGTCAGTATCTACCATGTGTTTCCCAGAAAGCAAGTATCAACATTTCCAGAAACTGCATTTCATATTAGTTCCTTTGCCAAGTGACGGTGTGTCTGGTCTTAGCTATATGATGAGAGAGTGAATAGATTCCAGGCTCCCTTGCTTTCTTATTGCTTTCATGAGGACATGCACCCCTGAGAAAGAGGGGGATCTGTCACAGACAGTGGCTAGCACAGCAGTTAATAAGATATTGGTAATGCCTCACTCTTAGCACATACAAGGAAATGTATTAGCTCTGTGCATTGGCACAGCAAGGTATTAGAGTGTAATGCCTCAAGGCCTGGAGTGCTGGAGTGTGCCAGACAAGCACTGACCTGTTGGGTCTAGTGCAAGAAGGACCATGCCACTCAACAAGGAAGGAGGAAGTACAATGTTCCCTGCGTGTTCCCTGCCCTGAAGGGCTGGTACAGAGGTGGGTTGAGATTTGGCCCTACATTTTTCCTTTGGGGCACCTGATGGAAGTAGTCCCTGTGCTCTCACAAGTATGAGCTTGTAGTTGAAGTTAATCCCAGTGCAAAGCAAATACTCTGCAAAGAGCATCACAAACTGTAGTTTTTAAAAAATGCCAAAGAGATTTAAGAGCTTGACTCTGAGTGCACTAGATCTTTGAGCTGTTGAATGTTGCCTCCCTTTTTCTTTTATCCTTGATATTGACCGGTGCAGTTCATAGGTTAATATCTCCCTACTCGCAGCACGTCTTGCATCACCGTGTTGCAAAATTACACGAAGATGTAATTACACAAATGATGTCCCATATGTTCTAGTTTGGTTTGATAGTATTTTTTATGGTGTGTTCTCCATTCATCTCACCCAAACATCCTTGCTGCAAAACTTATGGGATGTCAGCGAATAAATATAAAGTTCATGCACGATTGGGTCATCTGGCAAGATTCAATCATTTTCTTATTGCCTGGTCCCAGTATTTCTTGAAAGTTGCAGGTGGTTATTGATGGATAGAAACTAATATAGATTAATGCTCAAAGAGTACACATTTAAAATACTTCTTGGCTATGGCAATAGAAATCAAAAGACCAATGAGAAGGATCACAGGAAGTGCATGCAAATCAGAGTAAGTTGCCTTCTATGAAATTCAAGGGGCTTTGGGTCAGGCCCTAATTAATTCCAGCATCTCTGCATTTCACACTTCAAATTTATACAAAAATAATAGTAGGTATTCCTCCAACTTCAACTGATTTGAGTCAGAGACAGCCAGTTCTTTGAATTTAGGGCACTGGATAGACATTGTAAAATTAATAGCTTTTGGTCACTACCAATCTGGGATGGATTAAAATGGGCAGACTAAAAGTGAAAGACTATGTTACACATGGAGGCCATGTTGTGACTGACCCCTTCAAGGGTTCAGTGCAGAGTAGATACAAAGAGTTTCCCTTCAAAGTCAGTGAGATTCATAGGCACTGAGTATGTGGGGCCCTGAGGGCTGTGGCTCCCCTCAGAAACAGGGCTGTCAGGGATCAAACCTGAAGAAAATTATGTGATATTTCTAGATTATTTTATGTTGTAAAAGATGCCTTAAGTTGTATTGAGCATGCTGGATGTAAGGTGATGTGCTTAGGAATTATGACTAAGGCCCTGAGCTGCTAGCAGGGATCCAGGTTTTCCGTTTGCTATGAAAAAAAATGGGAAAATGCAGATTTTCTCTTTTAAAGGAGAAAAACGAAGGAAACCATGGGTTTCCCCTTGCAGTCTGGCAACAGGCTGCTTGGGGCTGAGGAGAGCAGGGAGTGGCAGCTAAGCAACAGTGGAGAGCAGCTCCCGGCACTTGTTAAAAAATATATATATAAAAAAAAAAACCCTCGTGTCACCAGGTGCTGCTGGGTGGGGGGGCGGGGTGATCCCTGCTGCCCCCCACTGCCCCACGTTGCATGGGGGGGCTCTGCATGAGCCCCCTGCCACCCTTCTCGCTCCCCCAGCCCCCCCTACGGGTGCCCTGCCTGAGCCAGCTCTGGCCCTTTAAGAACCCCCCCCCAAAACCCCAGGACTCTCTGCTCCTTCCCGTTGCCTCATGCCACATGGGGGGGGCTCTGTAGCCCCAAGGCTGCACCAGGTGTGGTGAGTCCCGGGCTCTTCTCAGCTTTTTTTTTTTTCTTAAAGGGCCGGAGACACCCGTGAGGGGGCTGGAGGAGCAGGGGGGCAGTCGGGGGACTCATGGCAGAGCCCCCCATGAAGTGTGGGCAGTGGGGCGCAGCAGGGCCTGGCCTGGCAGCACCCAGTGAACACTGGGGCTTTTCTTTGGGTCCGGGGCAGCTGGCAGGGGTCCCCCCATTGTCCCCCGCCCCAGTACTTACCAGCTCAGGGTCGCTGCAGCTCCCTGCTGCAGCCACCGGGGACTGTCCAAATTATCAAAAGTTTCCGAATCTTTTCCGAAGATTCGGAGAGCTTTGAATCGATTTGGACCTTTAAATTGGTCTCCTGATTTGATTTGGATTCAGAGATTTGGCAGCTGAATTGGGCCAAATCTCCTCCGAATCAAATCACCACCCAAAGCTTCAAACAGCTCTCCTGGTGGCAAGGGGTGCGGGGGATTAGGCAACATGGTGGGAGAGGCATGTGCCCCCAAGATTTCTGCTCCCACTGTGGGGCACAGGGTGCAGGGCTGCAGCCGGGCTGGACCAGCTCTGAGCAGGAGCTGCCTTCATGGCCCAGCAGGCAAGACCTGGTGCAGAAGGAAGCACTGCTCTGCCATGGCCACCAAGGTGAGGTGTGGCAGTAGCAGCAGCGTGGAGTTTTGCCCCCACTGTTGCCAGGTGAGCAGAGAGCTGCTGCCAAGAGGGTGTGGGCAGCTTGGCAGCCATGGCAGCAAGTTGTTCCCTCCTACACTGGGTCTTTTCCCCTGGGCCACAGACGTGGGTCTTGCCTGGAGCTGATCCAGCCCAGCTGTATCCTTGCTGTGGGCACAGAAATCTCAGGAGAGATTTCTGTGCCCACAGGAGAGACCTGTGTCCCCTAACGCCTCCCACACATCACCTATGCCCACACACCCACCCCATTCCCCACCTGCCGGGGCATATGTCCATCATCTGAGCCCCCCCAACTGGCAAAAAGATATCTATATACCCAGAGGGAGTAAGAGAATTGTTCCTGCACTTTAGTTGGGTAACTCAGTAGACCATAAGCTTCACTTTGGTCACCTGCTAAGTGAAACAAAATTCTGCCCAGAATGAGTATTGTGAACAATAGAATTCCATGACATATCTTTCACTTTGCAGATAGGAATGCTACCAGTACATGCCACAAAATGCTACCTCTCTTGTGGTTTGGTTACGAAACTTGGAGGTGGTAAGTGTGACTCAAAAGAGCTGAACGCAGAAGTTTCTTCATTAGTTTCACTGTGACTTGAGACATGTTGGCCATGTGTTTTGAGTACTGCCTCAGAATTATCCCACTGAGACCCTACTTTTTCATCTGGGATCTTGTGCTTCAGACAATGGTGATTCAAGTTGGTTAGTAGAAGTATGTGAGGCAGAAAAGAATGAATTCATGGCAGTAAATTACTGAGGTAAAGGATATGTCATATAAAAAGTACTTAAAGGAAAGCAGAAAAGGGGTGAGGTAGGCAAAGGTAGTATAAAAAGGCAAAAGTAGGTGAGACTATTAGACATGATGGGTACATTGCACAAGAATACCCAGGAAAGAAATCTTTCCCCAGATGTATCATGTAGAAACATGTCTAATAAAGGTCATTGTACAATACAAACCATCTCCACCCTTACAACTCACTAGAAAATGTTTCTCGTGTACATATCCTTCTTCAAAAGGGCAAACTTAGGACTCGCTGATTACATTATTAGTAATCACTTGGTAAACAGACCGATTCCCAAATATTGGAGCATTGCTTCCTCAAAGGAGACTGTGAAGGAGAACAGGAAAACAGGAGAAGACTCACTGCAGGTGGGGGAGAGACAGCACTGCTGAAAAATAGGAGAGTACCCCATGAGCCACAGTTTTGGAGCAGCTGCTCCATTTGGCTAGAGTGGCCCTGGAGAACAGGAAGGGCACATGGACCAGATGGAAGAGGGAGCAGAGAGTCAGGGAGTGAGGAACTGCATCCCGGGACCTGAGACACTGGGTGGGACTCTCTGGCCCCAAGGAGCTGGCAGGGAGCCAGCAATAGAGCTTAGGGAGCTCTCTCTAGCTGGGAGACCTCAGCAATGAGGATGTCGCAGAACGAAGCAGCGCGAGCGGCAGGGAACTCTGCCGGAGATGGGTCAGCCCCAAAACAAGCAGCCGGGGCCTAATTAGTGACTCAGCACTTTTAGGTTTTTTTATCTCTGGATTTTATTTTAGCCCTGAGTGGGGCAGAAGGGGGAAGTGGGCCAGACTGGCAGAAGTCCCTCCCCAGGAAGAAAGAAGAGGGAGATAAGCCAGTCCAGTCAAGTAACCCAGGGCAAAAAGGGGCAAGAGCCCAAGAGGGGTTCTTTTCTTTTGTTTCCTTGATATTTGGCTTTACCCCAGTAAGGGCATGCAAACACTCTGAGAGAGAGAGTGGGCACCAAATTACCAGAACACACGTGGGACTTACCTGTGGTTGAAAGAAAGCCTGGTAGTCCGCACCATTCTGTTTTGTCAAGGTAGTTGGTAGTGAAGGTTGCGAGCCTATAAGAGAAAAGAAAGAAACAAAACAGATCACCCAGGAAGACCTACAAATGTATTCAGTGGCATATAACATCTGGATGGTACTAGTATGGGGTATAGGGGAGGTTGGACTCCCATAAGAAAGTCCTAGCAGGTTTGCCATTGACCAGCTGTGGTGCAAACAAACACCTCCCGATCGTTCACTTCACAAAAACACCAAGACTTGGCAGGAGAGAGTCGAGACTCACGGCAGCAAATAACAGGCAAGTGATTGAGAGAACCATGGGCCAGGGAGGGAAAGGAATGGGCAGCTGAGGATGACGAGGCAGCTGAGCATGTAGACCTAACCAGGCTCAGTCCAGACAGAGACAAATGTGAAACTGAAGGCATTTCACATTCATAGGCACTTGGAGGTGGCTGATGCCTTTAATACAGTTTTCCTATAAAGCATTAGGCAATGTTTTGCAACTCAAATGTTCATATTTATTTCTGATAACTTGTTTCCATTCCTGTAAATGCTTCACCAATTGTTGTTGACTTCATTTTTGGCAAGACTCTCAGAATTATGATCTCACCCTTTTCTTTATAATACAGCACTTAAATGTTTTTCTCATTTTCTCTAATAAGGTTTCAGCAAAACCTAACACATTCTGGTGATATTGATTCTGCAGAGCTCCACTTTCTCACACTAGATCTAGGCATACATGTCTAACAAATTAGGAAGGTAGAATAGATCTGAGACATACTGAGATACTTTTGTGATGCATGCCAGAGAAAAGCCTATAGGAAAATGATCTAAGTATGATTTATCTACATCTTATTGGTAGGGTCATTACTGTGTCCTATCCACACAGTGCCAGATTGGGAAGATGACCTCTTATTCTTTGGTGTGGGAGAGTGCCAGCACGTATGACAGCACAGGGTTTGTCTTTGCAGTAGAGTTGACTCAAGTTGTCTATATGTAAATTACTTCTCTTAAGTTCACCTACAGCATGCAAGAGCAGCCATCAAACAAAGACATTTGTGCTAGGGACAGACATTACACATGAACCTGTTTAAGTGATCAGAAACTGGTTTAAACCTGTAACAGAATGGATGTTCAGTGCACATAAACCAGTTTGAAAATGGCTGAAACGCATTTGAGGTAAACCTGGTTGAATGTAGTATCAGAGTTAACTGATTTGGCTCAAACTGGTTTATACAGTGTCTGTCCCAGACCCCTTGCTGGTTTAATATAAACCAGACACCCCCAGCATCCTCTCTGGGCTGGGCAGGGCTCTCTGCTCCACATCAGGGCTGGTCTCTCCTCTCTGTGTCTGCCTGACTTTTCCATGCTAAACAGGGATTATTCCCACCCCGCTCCTCCTGCCCCTCTGCCCTAGCAGACACCTCCAGATTAGCTAGCAGACCACATGCTGGCTACAGCCCATGCTGTGGAAGAGACAAAGGCAGACAGGCTTTTTGGAGCTAATCAACAGGTAGCTTAATGTCCTTCCTTGGAAACATTTGAAAAGAGCTGTTTGCTCCCCTTCCTTCCCCCTCACCACTGTCTGTTAAGCACAAATCCCCCCTCCCCTCTGCCTTTGCTAAGGTGTCTGTGTATTAGCCAGCAGAACACATGATGGGTCTGTGCTGAATCAACAGGTAGCTGATAATGTCTTTCTGTTAGTTTTCTTAATGGGGCAATAAACACTGAAATGAGGGTGATAAACACTGTTATCAGCTCCCCCTTCCCACCCCCCCCCTCAAAGTTTGCTTGCCTGTCAGTTTGCTGCAGACAGTATACAGAAGCAGGGGGGAGAGTGAAAAGCTCTGTATCAACAGATGCATGCACTGCGCACACCCCCTTTCCTCAGAGTGCTAGTCTGGGGCTGCAGGCTGGCAACACCCCTGCCCCTTGAGCAACGGAGACCTGGGGATGCAGGCAAGGTAGGGGTTCACACCCCTCCCTAATCAGAGCCCTGCTGGGGCCTGGCCACACCCCCCTCAGTTTAGCTCTGTGAAAGGGCAGGGAAGGCTGCTCTAGCACCTGCCCCCCCCCACCCCCCGGCTTCCAGCCTGAGCCACTTTAGGCATGTGCCTGGATTTCCTCAGTCCAGAGGGATTGTCTGTATGGTTGAAAACCAGTTCAGCCTAGCCAGGTTAGACTAACCTGCAAAGGTTGAACCAATTCAGGCTCAGGCTTTTTGAATGTCTGTCCCTAGCCTTCAGCTGCTTTGTCTCTACTGGCACTGCAGTCACTCATATCAGGCAGAGACTTCTGAGTGGGTATCCCATTGTTCTTTGCATTGCTGTAAGGTAAATTAATTATTTTACAGTGAATTGTGGGAACATTTTTCTGTGCCTTCTGTATTCATTGTGAATTGTGAGAAGGCACTGAAGGACTGCGGGCATTTGAGTGAAGCTAACTTGTAACCACAATAAACAGAAGTCATATTTGCAGTCAACAGGTTGTGCTAATTCTGCTAAATCTTGTGATGGGCTGGCAAAATGAGTAAAAAAGATTTATCCCATGTGGAATAAGAATGTTTGGGTGGATGGGACTCATAGTAGAAGTAAGAATTGAGTTATAATTTGACCATGTTTTTTATCTCAGACAAGACCACAGTATGCAAAAGAAATACCTGAGAAGTTGCTACTAGATTTTCCTCCCAAGATAAGCAGAGAGTAGGAAGGTAATGGGTAGACTCTTGGTTCATGAGTGCTCCTTTTCTGTCCCCTCAGTGCACTGGCCTGTACAGATGAGCTGATGAAGATGGGCAAGTAATCTGCTACTTGTATAGATCAGTAGCACATGTTCTCTCAGGAGACAAAGGGGAAGAACAGAATTACAAAAGAACCTCACTTATCTGAACCCCTTTTATATAAACACTTGGATTATATGACCTCCCCACATGGTCAACAGAAATCCAAACAACCTGTGCACATACAGTTTTGAGGGGTTGGGGGTTTTCTCTTCTTTTTTGTACCAGGCTTTGTAATAATATCATTATAGTGTTTCTGGATTGTTTTCTGTGGGTTTTGTTTTTTCGTTCTTCTCCCTTTATGGTGCTATTTTATATTATAGATGTTTCACAAAGATGAACATTTCACATATATGAAGAGGTCCTATGCAGTTCAACTAAGTATCTGTCTACTGCAGTTGTGACCTTCAGAGTCGCATTTTATTGTCTGCATCTGTTCTTAAGGCAACATTGCCATCCTCATAACATATAGCTATGCCATAATACAGCCCGTAATTACTGATCAGTCTGGAGGTTGTTTAAAAGAGCTTTCTAATTTATATGATTTAAGTGTTGCTAACAAGATAATGCATTATGTACATGGTATATATTTTTTATTGAATGCTAAATTACTGCAATGAAGGTTTTCAGGATTTTTTTTTTCTTGAGAGCTAATTATTACCAGTATAAAACCTCATCAAAATTCTCAGTTTGTCTGAAAGAACTTTTTTTGTCAGGTTATGTTCCGTTTTCATTTACTCACTGAATGAGTCTAATTTGAACCAACAAAGAAACCTATCTGCTAACTACAAGAAATTCTTGAGGTGAAAGGAGAAAACACCAGTGATTTACAGAAGAATTTACTGTGGATACAACTCTAAAGCAAGAATTAGAAGTAAAAATATAATCAAGTGCTGAGACAGCTCATTCCTCCTGACACGCCTGTCTTCCCACATTCCATCTGCAAAAGCTAAAGGATACTGCATCTTTCTGCAAATTGCAATGGCAGATCTTCATCTGGTAATATTAATTGCAATTGAGTTAGGTCAGGGGTGTGCAAACTTTTTGAATGCGGGGCCGGATCATGAACTTTTTATCACCCAGTGGGCCGGCAAGCCATATTCAAAGACCTCACAGGAAGCAGTATCACATCAGGAAGTGATGTCACATGACCTTTGACACCAGTGAAGTTGCAGGAAGTGACAATGAAATGGGTCTAACCAGTTCAAAACTCTCCCTCTATAGCATCCACCTCTGCCACTGTTCAGGACAGGATACTGAGTTAGATGGACCATTGGGCTGACCAAGCCTGGCACTTTTTATGCTCTTATGTTCTTTGGCTGAGCTTCCAAACTATAGCTGAGATTTGCAAAAAGGGGTAGATAGGCATGTTACAAAGTTGTCATAAAAGATTTGGAGCCCTCTAAATCCCATTCATTTTAATGGAAGTTGGCCTTCTGACTCAGCTTTGAAAATCTCAGCCCAAGGTGCCAACCAAATAAGTCAAAATATATTTTTTATTTCTATGCAGTGCATCTATGTGGGGCTCTCCAAGCATTTTA